GTGTGTTGAAGAGCAACTGAGTACAGAAAACAGCAGCTGTTGTTTTTGATCAAGGAGCAGAAGGGATCAATGGGTTGGAGTACAGGGACAATGGGCTGCTTCATTGTCATGAAAATCAACTAGAAATGTCTCTTAGTTGGACTCTCTGCCTTTAAAAAAGCATACACATTATTCAAGACCTGTCTCAAATGCTTATCCCCTTTCTTACTGCTGGTCTCAAGTAGTTACTATTCTCCTCTTCAAACTGCCAAGAGCAGAATGATTAAATATCCCCTTTAGTACCTCATTATGAGCCAAGACTGATTTATTTTACCATATATGTGATCCATGAACTCCCAAATATAAGACCATTCCTTCCTAACCTCTGATTCCCCTGGATTCCTAGAAAAGTTCAGAGAATTATTCAGTTATATACTGGACTTAATTGTTGAATAAAAAAAAAAAACTTAAAAATAAAAACATTTGGTGAAAGATGAAATCTTGGAAATCAGCATTTTTTTTCAAAAGCATATGTGTATTATCATGAGAATAACTTTATATTCTAAATCATAAAACTGTGCTCCTTATTTACTCATCAAAAGATATTAGATAAATTTCTACTATATTTAAGATAATCTGGCATAGGTTATTATCATAGAATGCTGCTTCCCTGAATCAGCACTCTACAGTATAAAGCAAATGGGGGAAAAAAAAAAAAATTCTCTCACTTAGGGCTCACATACTTTCCAGAGTTAAAGGCAGCAGTGAGACAGACCAGGAGCATATTTCTTAAACATATGTTCAAGGGTTGCTTTTCTGGTTAGGATATAAATTGAATTGCTATCTCTAATACAATCATTTTTTTTTTTTTAATGAGGACAACTACATTCACCTTCAATAGAGGAATCAGCATTAATATAGGCCACTCCACGATCTTGAAGGAGTCTGGAATTCTCCTATCACAAAAAGACAAGAAAAATCCACCTTTAAACATATCAACATAACCACCCTCCCATTAAATATAAATTTCTGAATGAAACTGGCCCATATGAACAAATTTAGCATATAAGACTCCCAAAAGAGAGTTGGCTTGAAAGAATTCAATGAAGGTTACCAGTTAGAAACTACAAACAAAACTTTAAAAAACTAACATTTAAGATGAAACTGTCCACATATTTATGTACATGGAAAAGAAGTGAATTTCTGAATCATACTGTAGTTTGTCCATAGATAAGTTTAAAAATTCTCTCAGCAAACATGAAATGACCTGGGAGACTTTTGAGTGGAAATCTTCCTACAAATATCTCATTATTTAAGTAGAAAATATTGCCCCATTCACATTGAATAAGCTATTTCAAAATCAGCTTGAAAAATTTAAAAGTTGAATCCTGTAGACATGAAGTCAAGTTATCTTGTAGCATGGCTCCACCTACTGGTAAATGTTGATAATTGAACACTTTTAGAACACTATCAGGAAGTATAGCAAAATGTTTTTGAGATATTAATGTAGATTTTGAGTCTCTAAAATATGTAATTTCCTAAGCATTCTGAATATAACATAAAAATGAAAATACATATGTAACTCTGAATGATAAAAATAATTTGAAAGGGGCAAATCAGATCCTGAAAACATTTAGGCTTTTT